TCCTTTGATTATCTATGAAATAGTACTGCACCACGTTGGTTGTTGCGATAGTTGATCTACAATTAGACAAATAAGATAATATTGTCGTTCAACGGTGACTAAATTTCTGCAAAATGAACTTATTCTTCCAATAGGAATTGCCGCTGTCACTTAATAACCAGAGTTTCTTATCCGTATCCTCAGAAAATGGCTACGTTATATGTCAACATAACACATATATGTACTATATGTTGGAGTTGTGGTCGGGTGGAAATTATGTTATCTGTATTATAGTTATGATCAATTGAAAGATGCACTTTTTTTGGGTACTTTCTGTTAATTTTCCGTGCTACTGCGTAATAATTTCTCATTGAAACAACATATTCCTACTTTTTCCTACGTCTTTAAAACTTATCACAACCTTTTAGTGTCATTTAAAATGTACCTGACATTTTGTTGGCAATGAAATGCTCTATACGTCGCAGACAACCGACCAAGATTGATGAGATACAGTCAGCAAAATTCTTCGAGGGCTACTTTGTCACTTGTGCTGGCGCCAAAAGACAATGAAATTGTACCAATTGCTAATATTTAGTCACAACCTCATGTATGTGTATTTCCTGCTTGCTAATATGTATACATCTAAGGTACTTTACTATTTTAACCCCAACTGAATTAATCTACTTCTATCCCCTTCTTTCAGAAATACAACTCTTTTATGTAGAAGGTAAATTATCATTGCCGACTAATGACCAAGATTTCTATGAGTTACTGTGTTCACACTGCGAGCAACAGTACAGAACTCATTCGCCGAAAATTATTCGTTGTGCGAGCTGCAACCAAAGTGTGATGTTAACACCCAGGTATTGTGGCTTACTGTCCGAGCTTAATAAAATATCTTCGCTCGACATCTTCAAACAAAAAAAGTATGTTCTGTCATTGGCTTTATGAAAATCAAATAACGTACATTTCTTGCATATTAGGGCCCGCTTTGAGGTTGTAATGACAGATGACAGTGGATCAGCGGTTGCAACATTATTAGGCGAACTAGCAGAGAAATTTCTTGATATGACTGCCACAAATATCTGTGAAATAATCTCGGTAAAGGTATGTTGTGGATGGCAACAACAGAAACGTTGTAAAAATTATGACATTGTGAAAACAAGTGTACTCTTAATTCTTTCTGTTCTGTCCTCGTTAACGTATGCCTTTAGGTATATTGAAAATAAGCACAGTTGGAAGGCCATTAGTTACACATGTTCTACCCCGGTGTCATTTTGACAAACCCACTTAACTGAAAAGCAGTATTGATTCTTGTCAAACAGGTCCCAAATTGTTCTGTTGGTGGCCTAATTTTGAAGAGCATGTAAAATACAAAACCTTGATAGGTTCCAACTGGGCTTTTTCACAAATAATATCATTTTAGAGCTTTCATTTTCACTGTGGTGGCCGAAACATAACCTGGACCAAGACTAACCGGCCCAACATCAGGTCCAGTCCAGAGAAGCCAAAGCCTAACTCGTGCAACGCTCAATTCCAAGATGGCACACAAATCTAACCCATTTCTAAGCTCTTAAACTGTAATAATCCAGTTTTAGGATGCACCAAACAAACAAGAACTTTAATTGCTTTCCTTTACTTTTTACTTGTCAATTCTTGCATTTAGATTTTGTTCATTCTGTTTTGATCTTATTTTTAATGCTATCAGTGCCTATTCCATTAATAGGTGCAATTTAGCATCCACACATCCTTGGACTTTGAAGTAGTTGGGTGTGGGATAGGGGATTCCAGGTACCTGCCA